AAAAAAAAAAAAAAAAAAAAGTTAAAGGATCAGGCAGTAAATATTTTTGGACTTGTGAGCCGTAAGTCTCTGTTGGGACAACTCAACTGCACAACTCTGCCATTATGATAGTATGAGGGAAAAAAAAAAAAGCCAGAGGCAATCCATAAACCATGGGAATGGGCATGATTCTATGCCAATAAAACTTTATTTACAAAGCCAGTTGATGGGCTGGATTTGGCCTTCGGGCTGCAGTTTGCTGGCCCCTGCTTTTGATCGGAGTGGGCTACCAGTGAAGAAGCAAAATAAAGAATGAAAATTACCCTTACTTTCCATTTTTAGATGATAATTACTGTAGCTTTCATTTTTCAGTTTGGACTTTTCTCACTTCTTCTGTTTATAGAGCCTACAAATACATTTGGCAAGTACCCAAGGGCCCATTGAGGTATATTTGTGTCCAGAAGAGACAGAAACACACAGTCCAATGAAAACAAACAACCAAGACCACAATGGGAATATCCCAAAACCCCCTTCCAAAGGTAAAAATCCAGCTTTTTCATTTGGAAACTATGTTAAAAATGAAGGTGATTGGAAGGATCCTATGTCAGAACCACACGTCTAGGCAAGAAATGAAAACTTTTGTTATTAAACGTTATTAAGGTAATTTTTTTTTAAGGCATTGGGACTGGTTACAGAATAAAATAATGATCTTGAGCAAATGACTCCTCCACCCTCGGATGGAGTCCCTCAGGCTTTTGCAATCAGCAGAAACCATTTGCTTAGTGTTTTAGAAAACCAACTCAAGTGCGGAGTGAAGCTGTGAGCTGTTGGGGTGAATCATCAGCGACACTGAAAGGCAACAAGTTTGGAGAGAAAAGCCTTTTGTCGACAGAAGTTGTAGCTGAATTTCCACCCTCCCTCCCCGACCCCAGTGTGATGGGGACAAGACATGGGAGGAATAACCCCGGGGGGAGTCTAAGTTCTCCCCTCTTTTCAGTTTCAGACTGGGGGACGTGTATTTAATTTTTCATCCTACCGTTTCCCAGTATAGCAGCAAGAATAGGAGTGATTTACGTGAATAGGTTCTGATCTAATACTGAGCAAAAAACAAAAAACACAGCACCTCAGGTGGTAAAACGAAAGACCCCCCCCCCCTTTCAAAGAGGATATGTCTTATTACATGTGTTTTTAGAGGTATCTTTAAAAAGTTAGTTGAAAAAAGGTTAAGTTAAAATCAGTGAGCCCTACTAGGAAGCCAGTGTTTCACTATTGATATTTTGTTTTGTTTTTCCTTTAAATAGTGACTAACTGGGGGCAGCTGGGTGGCTGAGTCCGTTGAGCATCCGATGACTCTTGATTTTGGTTCAGGTCATGGTCCCAGGGTCGTGGGATCAAGCCCTGCATCGGGCTTCATGCTGTGATGCGTGTGGAGTCTGCTTAAGATTCTGTCTCTCTCCCTCTGCCCCTCTCACCCACTCAAGATCTCTCCCTCTCAATAAATAAATAGTGACTAACTGATAGCAGAACAAAGTGTTGGAACTTGTTAGCCTGTAATCTTTGAAATGACTTGTAGTGTCGTTTGCTAACAGTGGACGTTTCAAAAGATGAATGAGTTAGACCAGAACAGAGAAAGGCAGCCCGTCGCTGTGAACAGTTAGCACGAGATGGTCTGGACCGCAGTGTCGTTCTGATCAACCTTAGCAGAGGGCGCATGCTCTTATAACAGTGACGTGCATATTCTTCTAAAAAGTCGATTCGATTTGCTCCTAATTTATTTTTCTGTTTCCCCCATTTCTTTTTCCCCCTTTCAGACTTGGCTTCAACCAACTCAGGACATAGCGATTGTTCAATTTCTATGGCGAACCTTTCTCCTTTGGCCTCCCCAGCCAACCTCTTACAGCAGACTGAGGACCAAATTCCTTCCAACCTGGAAGGACCATTTGTGAACTTACTGCCCCCCCTGCTCCAAGAAGACTATCTCCTAAGCCTTGGGGAGGAAGAAGGCATCAGCGATCTCTTCGATGCTTACGATTTGGAAAAGCTCCCACTGGTGGAAGATTTTATGTGTAGTTGATTATGCATTGTGTGAACTCCCCTTATAAACCAATATTTTTTTATTATGGAACCAGAACATCTGTCATGCAGTGTTGTCCCTTCCTGCCTTCTTCCTCCGAGATAGTATCATGAAGTAAACTACAAACTTCAGAACAAAGCTGACATTTTAATGAATTTAAAAAAAAAAATTTTTTTTTTCGTTTATTTGTCTAAACGCACAGTCGCAGGCGCCCTTGGGAAAGCCCTGCTTTGCCCCAGGCTCCAAAATCTCCTGGATGAGTCAGCAAGTGAGAAAATGTGCAATCAGGTGTCTCTCACCCGTATTTTTCTTCCCCCACCCCCTTCCCGGATTGGCTTGCTGTCCCTGATGGATGGGCTGTCGAATGGGGTCTGGCCACCTGGCCCACTCGAAAACAGCAATCTTCCTTAATAGCATTTCAAGCCGTGCCTTCTCCGCAGAATGCATGTCTTTGGGGTCTGCTAATATGGAACGGAACGGCAGGAACTGTAAACTTGAAGTCATGCAAAAAGTATGAAATGGATTTCTTCAGCTCTTCTTAGGAATATTTAAATTACTGTCATAATTCAGTGTAAGCTATGGACCGCGTGTCCCGCCAGGAGGTCGAGAGAACCCGCACAGCCTTTCGGATGAAGAACTCTGTTTTCTACTATCTGTTGCAGATACAGAGGAACCATAGCGTTCTGCCACTCGAAGCTGTTGTGGATTTTCCTGACTCCGTTAACCACTCCCAGTCCCCCGCCCCCCACGTATTTGTCAGTTTAAAGTTGATTTGTAGCAAATGCTCACTTAGAAGTTCTTTGTGGATTGTTTTAGGCTTTTAAAAAGAAAAATTTTTTTTTAGCCGCCATTGAAGCATTCCTGTGGCACCCATCACCATTTCAATTTAATTGTTTACTTTGAAACGGTTTTTTGCTCATTGGAATGATTTAAGCAGAGGTAGAGAACCTCTACTGATCAGAGCATCTAGACGCGTGGGGCTGCAGGTGTAACAGCTTTGGCAAGAAGCACCAACCCCTTCTTGCTTCCCTTCCTGGGAGCGAGGGGGTCCTGGGGCTCGCGGACACCGGTGGCCCATGCGAGAGGAGAACCAGGTCAGATGACAGAGCGAGTCCCAGGGAGCCGCAGGTGTGGATCCCTCCGTCCTCGGGCTTCCCTCCTTCCCCCCCCTCCCCGGGCCCCGAGAGTGGGGCAAGGGCTCTCTTACACTGCACTCAGGGAGACCACTTCTCAGGATGGGGTCAGATGGAGAGGCCTCCGGGGACAAAGACATCCCCGCCGTGTGAGTGGCATTCTGTGGGCATTCACTTAACGCTGGCGAGACCGGGGCACCCCCC